AGATTGCGTGGCTGAACACGGAAGTAAGAGTACCATCGATTTTCCCTCGGCCGCAGGATACTCCAAGGGATGAGTTCAACCCTCATCGAGCCGGGTTAACTTGTACATTTTGTGCCAACATGTGAAGGCTGGGTGTGCCTGATTGCATGCAAATTATATCTTCTGTCCCTCGAATCGATCCAAAGCGCTATTCGAACAAGTATCCTCATGGATACTCTAGGATGGCTAGATTGTATTGTTACTTTACTCAGCTGCAATATTGGCGGAGTCTGATGGCTTTCCACATAGGTTCAGAAAATAGTAGGGAGATGGAGGGCTTATATGAAAAATATGGTGCTGTTGATCGCCCACTTGGATGTAAAACCTGTTATGCAGGCCTGATTTGCCAAAGGCGAATCAATCAATACCTTAGTTGTGTTCGTTCTAATCGCTCGATGATTGACAGGAATGTAACTGGCAAAAGTGTTTGTGTTGGGTAGAAAAAAAAATTCCAAGAGAGTTAAGGATTGGGTGGAAGGGTTTCTTTCCTTGTCTATTGTGAACACCATCTTGTAGGAAATGGAGTTAGGAGTCGGCACTGACTTTTTCTAGTTACTCTTTCCTATAAGTTGTAACTTTCGTTTTTCACGCGTTGAACGTTGTATGTTAGACGAAGACACTTTACACTCAAGCGAAAGTGAAAAGTCGCGACCAAGGTTTAGGGTTTGAGAGAGAACGACCCCTGTCGGGGTATCACGTTTTTTCGGCGCCTCTCGAGTTCTTACCAGAAAGTTTGAAGTGGTTTTTTCGTATTAATACAATTCTTAGAACCTCGTATCGGCCAGCGGTGAAGGACCAGCTCCGTTAACTGTTGTATCCATCACTGTTTTGCTGTAATAACGAGAAATAAGGAGGCAAATGGCTAAACGTTCCATCGATATGGGAAACATCTCAACCACTCCACTTAGCTAGTTTTGTGAATGGTGGAGGTGGAAGATCTTTCTTATGTTAAATTCATCTGTGCGAATGTGCTTATGTAAACTGTTGCTTTTATTGCTTCATAGGAGCAGCTGGTGGTTAAGTTAATTAAGAGTGGACATAATCAATGCACACTTATAGTACTAAAAGAATAAAAGGATGAAGCTCGCGGTGTTGATCAATCTCTTAGAGATTTGCCATTCGCTCAAATGACTCGCGGTGGCCTACCGATGTATCGAGTCAGTGCAGCTATCCTCCTAGACAAATCTGGTATGTCTGCCAACTCCGGAGAGATGGAGGGCTTGGTGCTCCTGGGGCGCAGGTATCGTCCCCATGTCTATTGTGAGGCGCCTCTGACCATTGCGCTGCACACGCTCCTTGTAGTGCTAACTGGAAGTAGTGTCGAGCACATGTATAGGCAGTTTAGATGCTAATGTTGTGTATTTCATCTCCATGTCTTGATCTGTCGGTCGATTAATTGCAGATGCACTGGGAGAATTGGTTGGAAGAATGCAAGACTGCAAGACATAAAACATTATTATTTTTAGGGATTACTTCCTGTTTATTGTGAAAATCCGCTTATACTGAAGACTTTGGATCACCCTATCACGGCTACCTGAGTCTGGGCATAAAACCAAAGCGGGCCAGCTAAGTGTGTAGACGTCTGATATAAATGCACTTAGTTTCTGCTTGTCTCCAGAAAAGAAGGGTGTGGCAATCTTTTGTCGAATTCATTTGTGAGATGTTATAATTGTTGCTGCGGAGGACCTTGTTTAAGTGATATCTTTTTGAGGCATCTATGACACTGATTGTAAACATGAGTGAGATTAGTGTGGCAACGCTTGTTTTCTTCATACCTGCGCTAACATTTCTTAAGTTCTCGAGGTTTATATAGCTGTGGAGACATACCGTACTCTTTTGCTGATTTTTGCACGTGAAATTTCTTTTGTTGGAGTTTAAAGTGTCTCATTTCGTTCAAAGTACAACATCCCGGTGAAGAGAGACTGTTCATCTTAGTGTAAGAAGCCTTTGGATAAGATGTCTATGCTTACAGAACATTTCATCTAGTAATAAGTCTTACGTTTTCGTGTGGACGTTTACATAAGCATCTATGCTAATCTTCGGAGAAATTATGAAATACTGAGTAGTCGTCAGTTATCAAATATAGATTTTTGTATGAGTATCAATAGTAAGGCGCAGTGGTCGGAGGCACCCTGCAATACACGTTAGACCGATCCCATCGCCTCAGGCTCACCAATCCTTCCATCCCTCCGGATTTGGCAAAATGGTACCAAACTTGTCGAGGAGCAGCACTAGATGGATACATCGATAGACAACCGCGAGTTATTGTAAAGGCCAGGTATGCATTCAATCACCACCAACGATGCTTAGTGAAGTCGAATGCATGGTGCGTCCCTCAGGGATAGATCAGCTCCGAGAGCTTTGTCTTTTATTGATAGTAGCCGACCTCCATAACCTTTTCGTATCGACTAGTGGGAATAATTCGTGATATCCGTTAAGATTTTTGCGTCCATGTCTTAATTTTTCCCTCAGTAGGTTAATATTTTGGTGCTTTGTTATTATCAAGTTGAACTACAATAAGAGGTGGTTATATATTTTTCGATGTAGCAAGGAACATTGTCGGACAGCTCAGGGTGTATAAGGTGAGTGGTTTTGAAGCTAGATCGCATATCGCATCTAGACGTACACTTTCATTTTAGTTTTGCCGTTATAACAGTAACAGGCGAATAGCTTATGCTTCATTACGCAGTTTAGAGTTATTGGTTAGGGATTTTACTTCAAATCTGACGTGTTAGTTAGTTCCCATGTTTCTTTGAAATTTTTCAAATGCTATAAATGATTATTATAAAACTGCAGCCGAATTTCCTTATACTGCACGTTTTCGGCGTTTTGAATGGGGTAGATTCTTTCAAGTTTTCGTGGTGGTTTAACATGGAACATAGTCGATACGTGCACTCTTCGAGCACAATCCGTTCTAACCATACTTGTACACACTACAGAGTTTAATTCTATTGTGGATGTCGGTACAGTACGGAAGGCACATGTTAAAGCCTGACTTTTATCTTGAATTTGAATACCCCCCTGTTAGACAATAAGACGGTGAAGTCGATGCGCATCTGAAACCGCTATGCTTGTTATTTTTCTGGGCTAAACGAACGCAGGAATTACTATCAAACACGTAGAAAAATTGATTTTTTTTTAAAACAACTTAGGGTAACGTGTATGGATACCAGCACTTTTATCGAATTCGTTTCTTGACATTCGTTCTCAGGAAGGTTTTCGTATTTGTGGGTTCCAGGTTCGACTAATGTTTATTTCTGTTCATTATGAATGTAATCAAATGCTGGTCGACTAGATTCTTGTGCGAATCCTGGGATAGTCGTGCTAGAGCGTTCTCACTTAGTACAGACAGGCGCTATCCGTTGTGCAGTAGAAGGAGCCACTCACAGACGGGTCTGATGCCAATACCCCGACCGTGAAGGGGTGCAAGGTGCGTGGAGTCGAATCAGCGGCTTAGTTGCGCTGAACGACATAAAGTGGAAAATTGGGTATTTGTCCAACGAACAACAGTTACCGTATTACTGTGTTTATAGCAAACTGGCGAGTCGTCGCTGTACTTAATGAAACGTATAAACTCGTACTTTTTATAAATTGCAATGTGTGGAAAGCACTTCTATGCTGAGGTTGATACAAAGTATGTGGTTTGAAGCTATCGATTTAACTCCCAAGATCGACTTTGTATTAACCTCGGCATTGGATTCGATCGATTTATCTTAAAAGGAAGCCCAGAAAGTGTTTACGTGATAAAAGAAGACACCGCGAGGATGAGTAGTGTACCACTGTGAAAATTTCGGAGATTTCTACTCGCATAAGCAGAATGATCTAAATTTTTTTCTTTTGTGATGACGTTCCGCTTATCCACTCATTTTCTTGTTGTCCATCTTATGGCGATGCAGATGTTTAGCGGTAACAATAAGTCACTAACTTTTGACGTCTTCATGCATTCAAGAATAGGTGCATATAACTTTTTATTTTCTGCCTACTAGAATTTTTCACGCCACGGTACTATATGAAGTAGATAGAAAACTAGCGGAGAGGCAGGCGAAATGAAGGGTCCGCATGGTGTGGTGGTGGACGTGTTATCCGCTGGAAAGATTAAGAGAGCGTTCGTTCGCCAACGCAGACACCTGTGGTCCGGAGTTTTGCAAAAGATCCTGCGTATGCCTTGACCCACGTTCCAATGGTATATCACATGTTTGTCCGATCGAAAACGTCCTGGACGGATGTATGCAGTAGTTGAGCGAATGCAAAGGTATCTCATATGCCACTTTTGCTTATTGGATTTATACAAGCACAGGTTATTGACATGTATCGAACCACATTCCTGCCACTTTTTGAGCGCTTATGGCTCTAAACGGAAGCGCATTCATTTGATATCACTTATTCGTCTGGAAATATTCCAGGGTTAAGTTATGATATAACTTATTCGGTAAATTTTGCATAATTATGCAGTAACAGATATAGTGGGAAATCAGCTTAAGTTGCTAGCGTTCTATTTCTCCATCTACAAAAGCTGTTTAACCACAGTATGCAGATCGCATAGGTGCAGCCCTACCCATTTCAGATCAAGACTCAACTTTTGGATTGTACTGCAATCTTCTGCAATTTAGATGGCTTGGATCCAGGGTTTTTGGCACATCGACAAGCCATGGGAGTCGTTGTGCGCGCTTATAATTCCGTTTAATGTTCCGATTTCTAGGAATTTGCCTCTTCCCTTAGGTATATACCTTTTCGGTCTTTGCTGTTTCGATAAGCGTTGCAGTTTTTCGATATAAATAGTATCGTCTTGCGCTTTTTGTTTATCTGCTACAACCACGTGCCCAGAGAGAGTTGAGACGAGGGAGTACTTTTACCGAGTGAACGAGAGTAAAAAAGGGGCGGTATAGTGCGGAGCGAAGGATATAAGGAATGTGTATTCAAGCCACTTCGGTGAATTCGACTTACTTCATCGGCATTGCAGGATGTCCAAAGCACCGACTGTAAGTGAATTGGTTGGAAACTCGAATGTTACTTTCAAGCCCGTTATAGGATCATACGCCGACGATAAACTAGTTAGCTGAATTTGCCATGTTTTATTACTCCACTAATGTCTGCTTCTGTGATTGTTCTATGTTGTGCTTATCAATTTGAACAAAACAATTGTAGACTCGTCCTGATTTTAATACTGATGTGCTTTGGAAGCAAAAGAGGGCCAATCAAAAGCAGCGTACTATGTCGATTGGTTCCAGTGACTCTGAAGGGCTAAGTACTAGGTACGTGGAACAAGTTGCCGTTTCCATTAAGTCAGGTTCTTTTCTTCATCGTGGTTTTCTACACAAGTTTTCAGTATGCCTCATGTTGACGTTCCGCGTCCTCGTCGTCTTAGTATTAGTGAGATGATATTTGGTTCTCCTGTCGGGGGGTTTGGGTGGGGCCAAAGCAGCCTGCAAGGTTCTCCTGTTGGCGAAAGAAAAGGATCTATAACCGAGGTTAGTTTAATAGTTTGAAGCTTATGTTTTCAACTCAGTATGTTTTTTTTAGGATGAACGATTTAAGGAATTAATAAAGCACCAGAACAAGATCCTCGGTGATGGTTAGTCACTGTTGAAAATCTTGAATGTACTTTTTCTGCTGTTTGTCTTATTGCTTCTCTACGATATCCACTGGTGATTTGCACCGACTTAGGTGGTCTATGCAGCTTTGCGAAGAAAGATTGTATGAAGTGATATCTTAAGTCTTTTTTAATCTCTATGACTTCGTTGTGCCAAGGTTTATTGGGGGATTGGGAAGCACTTTTGTGTTTTAAATTATCAAACAACAAGATTCATGTATTGCCGTTGTTGTTAAGCTCTTGGATTACTGTACAGACCACTTCTAATTTGTAAATAATTATTGAATCTACAGGCTTGTATTAGTTGTTGTCTGTTTTCGAATTTGTTCCTTTTTTACATAAAGTTTCTAATATCTGTGGATAATTACGTCGACTGGTTGCCATACTTAACGCTCTTGGCTTACGAGAATAAATCGGAGAAGGTCTTGTCGGGTGCTTGAGGAGTTCAACATTTTACTTGCAGCGGGTTTTCTCAGCTACTGCTTAATTTTTCTTTACTGCCAATTTTTCGTCTAAGTACGTCGTTCGATTTCTATTGCAAGTGCTGTCAACAATTTTGAGGATATTGGTTCATTCTTTTCTATGGTAGATTATGTAAAAACAATCACAGGGATGCTGAGATGTGTACAAAACTCGTACCCTCAACTGGGCTCCGAACGTGCAATTACCATGGATATACTTACAACAAATAAACGGTAGGTGTTTAAATGAAGCTGTTTTTTATGCGAATGCAAATTTATTTGTTAATTTTTATCTGCTGGGGTTATGAAAGTGTTCGGCTGAGTGGATCGCATCTCAATTTGACCTTTCCAGACTTTGAAGAAGGCGAAACCGCCGAAACATCAGCTATTGTGTTCTAATAGATCCTATAATAATAACCTCGTGTCTGCTTATTGAAGAAAAACATCGAATCATCAATTAATTAGTTTGTAAGGTTCATAATTGAAATAGAGTAAATCTATACCGCTGAAGAAAGTGTGTAAGCGTTGGTACTCTGGGGTTGTTTTGCTTCCATTAAGTAAAGAGGAATTAAAATGATGAACCACATTGGCTTAAACTTTCGCTATTTAATAAGTAAGATTTGGTTACATTACCCATGCTTGAACGCTACTCAATTAAACAGTCGATATACAATTTAACGTATTATTTACTGCCTATTCTTTTTAACGGCAGGGTATAAATTGTGAAATATAACTTCAATGATGCATACACCTGCGGTCCGGAGTTCTGCAAATATCTCAGCATCATTGAAGTCAATATACAGTTCAGCTTGCTTGGATGCTTGAAGACTTGGATGGCTCGTTCTCACTGGTTGTGCGGGCCCATCATAATTTCCACTGTTTTGGAGTTCTGCTGGTTTAGCCATTGTGGTTTCCTTGAGTTTCGAGGTCAGCCTGGCCAAAGTCTGCCCCAGGTCGTCACCACCACAGGCAATCGATGCCCTTGTGGATCAGGGGGAGATTTGCCACCATGCGACTAGTGCGATACTAGAACGGTGGTGGATCCTGGTATTGGTTTACTTTTAGCTGGGCTTTCTGAAGGAAACGTCTGACTCATCTTGTGAGACCTTGCTGCGGGTAAGAATCCCGTTGCTGTACGTCGCAGACCAGCACCCAGGAACACCTGCCAACCACGATGAGGCGGTAAACCGTTGGGAGGGTGCAGTTCAACACATGAGAATATCTAATTGCGGTTTCAAAATTGGTGGTTGAAGCAGTACTCTACTAGACCAATAATCGGGCCGGTGGGTTTTTTATTCGACACAATGAAGAGACTAAGATAGCCTTGCAAAAGTTGCAGTAAGTACTGAGTGATATTTGGATTATACAGTTGTTTACTGACGGTAATCTCCCAAGGATACAATGTGTTTGAGAAATTGATAAGAGCTCAGCTGATGGTCGTTTACGATAGTAGTGTTAATGATAGCGGGAAGGACAAACTATACACTAGTCCCTTGTGAATAAATCAAATGACGACCGAGTTACGTATTACTGACGTAGCCGATAAATAGTTAAGAATTGCTTAGTGTGTATTTTTTATTGATTATTGATTTTCGTAAACATTAGCGGAGAGGAAGACGTCGAAACTTCTTAATAAACTCGATCTGTGCTCGCTGAGCGCGACATGCATTGATTTTAACGCAAGTGCCCTCTTCATGAGTACAGTCTCTGCTGCTCTGTTGGCATAGAAGCCAATGACAACGGGGCATACGTATTTGTATTTGTGCGACATAAACATCTTATGATGCTTCTTATCTTCTTAGTCTTATCACCAGAGGTATTGTACCTTGCCCATAAGCATCACTATCTGTATCTTAGCGAGCAAACTGAGCAAATTCGTCCGAAAATCGTAAGAGTGGGCTTTTACTTGGATGGAATATCTTTTCTACAATGACTCATGGTACAACATCTGTCGTGAGGAAGCTTTCAACAGAATACAAGAATGACGATGAGTAAGAAAACTGTCGCGAAATAAACCACCAAAGAAGAGACGCGTCGAAGTCAACGCACACCGTCGTAGGTGTACCACATCCATAATCTGACAGAATTCAGTGTTAAAGAGTGATTAACCTTAGAACGCAGCCGTTCGCTTACATGTCAGTCGCCAACCATATTCATTAACTTGTAAAAAATCTTATCCCGGTTAAGCGAGTGATAAATCATATCACTAGCAATTGGGAAGTGTGTCTCATTTGTATCCATACAATTCTACTATGAGATCTAGTTCTTATATAACTGCGTTACTATTGTTAATAGTCAGCCAACATTCATCGGTATGTTGTTTGTTCAGAATAAGATAGGACAAGTAAGATTTTATGTAGGACTTAACTCGGATGGAGCTTATCATTTACAAGTGTAACATCAACTGGCTATAAAATCCAACAAGAGAGATTGGATAGAACTAGGGTGCCCCTGTAAACTCAACTAGAAAGTAGCGATGAGCTTAGTGTCCTAAATCTACTTATAGTGTCATTCTTATCGTGGGCGCAGATTTCATGTGAATTAGCTGATGCAACCCTCCAATTGCCGCATAAGTAGTGTCCAATCTCTTAATAGCGGACAAGGTCACATAAAAAGGGTTTGTACCTTTTATGACTGTAGTTCGATTAGATACTAGCATATTACTGTAGCCGTTTGCTGATTAGTGAAATAATGTCCACTTCTTTTGATGGGTCGCAATAGATCATTTTTAAGAAGCAATAAGGAGCGACTATAAGTTGGCATTTCGTCGACCCATCTATAAAAATTAAGCGGAGCCTGGTACCTCTTCCATCTACGTAGCTCCTCCTCGACTGTTGTCTCTGGAAGTGCTGCGTTTATGCATAATGATATCCATGCGCCTAATGCGGTGGCGATCTTCCCTTAGTATAAATGCAATCTCTCCATTCTATTTATCGTTAACTTTCTCCGTCATATAAACATCCAAGGTTAAGTTTCAAAGTGTTTCAACCGGATTTTTATAGAGGGCAGTGAATAATATTGAAGGTATGAAATGCTTCAGCGTAATGTCGATTGAGCCGGAATTTTTGTGGTATTGAGACGTCAACTCATGGCTGAGGTGCACAGCAGTCAGTGTCAAGAAAAACTCGACCCTCAAACGGTCTTCCCGGGTTGAAGACCATTTGTTCCCATTCAGTCTGTGCTACACATTTGGTTTTCGTTAGCTGGGTTTTCTTTCGATTCATTTACATTCCTATTTTTCTCTTCACCACTTATATCCCTATACCTAAGTTTTCTTGTCATGTCATGCGAATAAGATGACTGTGGCACGTTGGTAAACCTCTTTTGCGCGATAAAGTCACCTTGCTAGAATACCCCGTTTAAATTAAGCTTAAAGCAGTGGTGGAGGATCTCCATCGTTATTTTTTTCTATCGTCGTAGTGTAGTTGTAACAGAATTCGGCTATAGATCTTATTTAGGCATATTGATGTATATAGATGATATGTATGTAGATTCTACAACGTCCATCCTTCCACCGAAAATGAGGCTGTTTTCTGCACTCTTCAAATAGCTAGTCTAATTTAGTTTATTTACTAACATGAAGGAAACATTTTTCTAGACTTTCAAGGGGACTGAATTTAGGTGGAGTTGCTATGAAGATGAAAATCGTATTTAATCCTAGACAGTTTTTGATAGGTTAAACTGCCTTTGAACTGAGACCAGGGACTTAATTCCATAGTTAAAATCCAGTCCGAATAAACACTGAGCTGATATTATCTTAGGATTGTTTTCAAGAACTAGAGAGCTGGAACTAGTGAAAAACGCGTGGTTTTAAGTATATTGGCTGTTGACCTTTGTTAACATCTAGCATAGATGATTCGTTAGTGATTTATATCAGTCCAGATCAAACTCAACACTCTTTGAATTTCTAGTCCAAGTAGTCAGACTGGACATCAATTTCAATAAGTGTGATAAGTTAATACCTACAATTTCTACAAACAGGGAGTCATTTGATCAGTCGGTTGCAATGATTCACCAGAAGCCGACCAGATGTAGACGAATGAGAGGTGTAGGAAGTACAACTGTAATGTGTTTGCTAAAAGAAATCTCACTAAGTCTGGTTGTAGATAGGTTTATTGGCAGCATTATTTTGCTTTAAGAGCTATTTATGGATAACATATTTTAGGAATTAAATCCTCATTGCTTCCCTGTACCTGGTACTGACAAGGAACCACCAGTTGATTTCGTGTTCGTCATCGATTGTTGGTCTAAGGATGAGTCGGTTTGTCTAACGATCTTTCACAGTACAGTAGAATAGTATCCGTATTTTATCGTCATTTATAACATTTAGGTCCAGCATCTTCTATTTCTGTACAAGGCAATATCCTGTGAAATCCCAGAATCACGAAGTTATTCATTGACAGCAATGTATATTTACGGAACCAATGTCAATGTCAGTGCATCTACCTTACTATGAAACGATCCCATTAACGATAAAATAGATTAGTTTAATGAAAAAATAAAGGATAAAGGTCTCGGCATTGATC